AATTCATTAACTTATAATATAATTATACTAATAATATTTAGAATGAAATCACTCATTACCTTTGCATCAATATCCATTTTTGCGACAATAGTAACCTCTTAAAATTCTACGTACAAAAGAGGATTGACAGATCATTTCATATAATTCTTGAATCTAAACAAGAATTATTATCCTTACAATTTCAACAGGACCGAGTTTTTCGGTGGATCATTCGGAGGAAAAGATAATGATACTTAACCTATCAACAAAGTCCCAGTTGTCTTTGTGCATGGAGCAGCTGATATGGTCATTGGCGAGGAGTGGGCAAACGATGGATTCAGATATGACATCGAGTATTTCCTCTAGAATGGCTATACTAAGGCTGAACTTTATGGTTCTATGTGGGGATTCGCTGATCTTGCTGGAGAATATAACCTCAAACATGATACTGAATATGTAATAGCAATTCGTAGATTCTTAGAAGCTGTACTAGACTATACTGGTGCAGCAAAGATAGATGTTATTTCACATTCAATGGGAGTAGCTCTATCAAGGGCTGCAATCAAGGGTGGCAAATATCTATTGAGAGATATTGGATATATCAATTTAAAGCCTATTAATAAGAATGTAAGAACCTATATTGGAATTGCAGGACTCAGTTATGGAGCCCTTGTATGCACAGAAGCATTCTACTATGATAATTTCCTTGGCTGCAATAAATTCAATGGATATTATCCAGGTGTATTGGACAAGTACAACAAGGTTGTCAATGTATCAGAATTCTTAAACAATTTGAACAAAGATAAAACCAAAGAAGGAGACCAGGCTTATGCCATATTGAGTTTATTCGATTCACCGAAGACTTATAATGACAAGTATAATTCTGCTTTTCCAACAATGGATATGGCATTTATCTTTAACAGCAGCGAGTATGACCACGTTGGTGTGAGAGATAAGACTCAAGAATTCCAACTCAGACTTCTAAACTCATATCACCCATCTGAAATTCAAGAAACTGAGTTCATGTTTATGACAAAGTCCTAAGGTCCGAAAAATGTTTAGGATGATGAAGAGAATGAGGAGGAAAAGTAAGGTAACTTCCTAGAATGAAATTTATTTGAAAAATAACTTGAATTCAATCCATTTTAATAGATTAATTTCATTACTCAAAATCAAACAGATATTCAGCATACAGGGGTTTTGGGGTTTTGGGGTTTTGGGG